GCTCGTTCCTTATTTAAAATTGAGTTTATCAAACTTGGCATTTTAAAATTTTAATTTATATCATTTATTTCATAATAATAAGTATTTGTCGTAAAAAAAGTACAACTTGTTTATAAATGTGTATAAATGTTTTCATTATAGAATGAAGTTTATCAAACTTGATACATAATATACCTACTATTATGCAACTTCCATTTAATGGGCTATTAAGAGACTCTCGCTTATTAATTGGTCGTTTCATAATATAATATTTATAACCGCGAAAACTATAAGGGTGATTCAAAAAATATCGTGTTATTGGTTTTCCCCGATAAATATTTGCCTTACAAAATTTATTTACCTAATAATCAAATTTGCTCCCAAAATATACAAAATAATACTTTCTTTTAAACCTGCAAAAACAATTTTAAAAAATTAAAAGTTGTCATTCGGATGTCTTGTCCCCATGCTGCAGCATTTCTGAGAAATTTAAATTGATGAATTTACTTATATTATTTTATAAAAATTATACTCAATATATATGTTTTTTATTCATAAAAGAGTGAAATTTTAAGAATGTCAAAAAAAGTTTTTTTATAAGCATATAAATAGCAAAATCCCTTATCCCCAAGAAATTGCGTCATTGGCGTGTACATATTTTAAACTTCCGCAAAAACAAAAGGTCAGTTGAAACCAAGCTTATAACAGGGTATTAGCATCCAAGAAACAATATATCATGCTTAGGATCCTGTTTATAGGTAGGTCGCAGTTACTTTGAATTGAGCAGGCCGAGAGTTGACAGCTCTTTTGTTTTTGCCTTGGACAAAAATTTTGTACCTACTTTAAAATTACTCAATATTTTTAGAATCACCCATATGTTAACTGGTTTTTGTGTAATGGTAATTTGTGCCATAAATAAGTATTGGAAATATGTAAAAGAGAGAAAAAAATGTCACATTATTTTTTAGGTTTATGAACATTTTAACAAATTTTATAAAAAAAGAAAATATAAAAAGTATATATTTCATCCAAAAACAAAACAAAAATTATATACAAATAAAGAAAATTTAATAAAATTCATAAAATTTAAACACAATCATTACATGATATCAGCAGAAAGCATTTAACCCACCCATACATCGTTTTGTGTTTTATTTTATTAGTATAATAATAAAATAAAACTTTATCTATGCCTATAGGTATAAGTTATCATTAAATACATTTTTTAACTAGATGAATTTAATGAAAGATAATTAATTTCGTTAAAAATCGGTTTAATGCTTTTTTATATACATTTACTATCAAATTTTATGAGGACGATTCTAATTATAGTATGAAAATTTTTGTAGGAGAAAATATAGTTTATATACTAGAGAAGATATTTTTTTTTATTTTTTAATTGATCCTTTTTTGCATAACTGGGTCCAATTTACAAAAAAAAAATATGGAAGTATTTAAAAAAAATTGAAATTAAAAAAAAATATTTTAGAACCAAACAAAAACATAAATGTGGTACTATACAGGATGCTTCAAACTGATTTAGCCAGGCTCTATAGTTCCTTACCAGATAATTCCGTAAAAATATTTTATAGGTACTTTAAAGTATTGAAAATCGATAATAAATAAAAAAATTTAAGTTAGCCACCAACAAATAAGTAAATTAATTGGTGTTTAGGAACAAAACAAAAAAAAATCTGTATGAATAAGACCAGAGCCGGCTTAAGGCAATTGAGCGCCTTAGGCACTTAAAAATTTGGCTCCTCTAACTAGATACTATACTTACGGGGCCTGGGGCAAATTTTAAAAAAGCTTATTAGAGCCTGTTAGCTTAAGGGCGCCCGAGCATTATAACCTAATTATTCCCTATGAATTAGAATACTTTTTATCATTAAAAAAATATATAAAAAACATAAATAACATACAAACATAACAAATATAATGTAAATAAAAAGTGTTAGGACTTATAAGTGCGTTTTTCTGCAAGATGTCATTAGTAAGTATTTAAAATAAATTAAATCAACTTTAATTTTCTGTATTTAATAATAATAATAATAATAATAATAATAGTTTATTTGCAGAAGGTGTACATATATTTGTATGTTAGATGTACTGCTGGTTTATTGTAATTAGTTTTATATTAAAATTTCAGAAATACCTTAAAACAAACAGAAAAATTAACACTATCTAAATGTGGATTTAGCCAGCATTTTGTGTAACGTAATCTAACGTAACGTAATTTAATTTAAAAGCCAGGCTAAATCAACCTTAACTATCGAACACAGACTGCTATCACCAAACACACAACACATAGAAGTGCCACTCTTGAATAAACGCGAAAACACCCAAGTCCTTCCGGCAGCAGTTTCCTCTAGTATCGCGTACCCGCTGGGGTGAGCAGCACATCACAGCGGGTACCCGATGCAAGAGGAATCCGTGTGCTTGGAGCATACGGGGGTTTTGAAATAGTTTAAAGAGTGCTAAAGATATGTTTATACAGGGTAAAGTTTACAAATTAAATTATCTTTTTAAGTTTTTGTTTGCAGTTTAACGTTAAGATTTAGTATTATTTGTTAATTATACAGTTTATAATAAAATATCTTATTCTACTTCAAAAAGCAGTGCCCTCGTAATTAAGCATGGTGATATAACACCTGATTGATTAATTTTACCTGAAATACATTTATGTATTTGGCATAAAAACAGAAGTGAATTTGCGGCACGCTTTTTGTCGGCTTTACACCTCGTTATTACAAAGGAAGCTAAATTTTTATAAAATAATAAAAACAGTAAATAATATTCTGTTATTAAATTGTATATTGTTTATTTGTTTTATTTTTGGAAAAAATAAACATTTTGGTAACATTTTTTATAAGTTATATAAGTTGCTTGGGGACAAGGCGCCTATTTCTACGTGGCGCCTAAGGCAATTGCCTTGCCTGCCTAATGGGTAATATTGCCCTGAATAAGACACATGTCAGATGTTTAAATTTTTGTATACCAATTAAATATTATTTATCGGAACAAACTATGGAATAGATAATTGAAAAACCTACAAAAAATTGAGGTAGTAATAAAATATACAGAATGTTATTAAAAATCTAAGGTTGAAGGGCTGATTTTGAATCATGACTGTATTTTAGTCACGAATTTAATGTAGGCACGATCAATCTTGCAAGCGTGTGATTAAATAAATGAGTGTCTAAAAAAGTTTAGAAACTAGTTGCATAGTATACTTCATCTACGACAAATAATTATAATTATTTATAATAATAATAATAATATATTATTTTATTTAACAACCGTTAAAATCATAATATAGAAGCAGTTTTTCACAATAAAAGTGAGGAGAAAGCAATAGTGGCCTTTGGGCATTTTAGTCACGGGGTGAAGTTAGCTTTATTATAAATACGGTTAAAGTTGAGAGTTGTCAAATGTTCAAAAAATAAAATTGGATTTAAATTTTTCTTTGTGTTCTTCGTAGATTAAGTATAGAATGCAACTCGTTTTATAAACTTCTCTAGACACTCGTTTTTATTAATCACTCGCTGCCAAGCTTCTCTCGTGTCTAGTAAAACTCGTAACTAAAATGGCGTTTACAAAACTCTATACATAATATACTATTTTTTTGTATGAATAGAATTAAATAATGTACAAATTATTATTTCACTACAAGGGCACTTTATTTTAAAGATTTCATGTCATTTGACAACTTAAAATAATCTTCAGTCCGTAAATAAAACGACATAAAGCCACAACTTGTCAATGTGAAATGTGTCATGAAAACATGTTCGATAATGGTCGTTTTATATGTGGGAGTAGAAAAAGTAATAAAATCATGAAAGAAACGAAAAAAATATTTTTTAAACTACACAAATCCTTGTTGATAAAAAAGTTCATAAAAATCAAAAATAATAAAAATAAAATTATGAATTTTTCATATTGCGTAACATAAAAGTGTAATATGCAATGTTAAAAATTATAGAATATAATTAAAACAATAATATAACAAAAAATTATAAAAAAACATGTTTTATAAAAACCCTTAAAACACATTAAATTGGTGTTATATTCGTCATCTAATAATTATTTATGTCATTAGGTTAAGAAGAAAGGCTTTTTGTGCTAATTGAGCGGAGCACAAAAAGGCACTTCTTGGCCGAATGGCATACAACATTTTATCTTCAAAGCACTTTATATAGGTCAATTTAATTCAACATCAAAGCGGCCTAACCTCACTTTTTTAGAATCTCATTTATTTATTAGCTAAAGATTACATTAAATGTACAATAATTATTATTGCTTTTAGAAGCAGTAATAGTTTGACAATACCTAGCAACATGATTTAAGTAGAAATGGATTTTTGCTATTACATTGAATTCAATTAATTGTTTAATACATAGGTAGGTATCTAATTTCCATTTGTTTGGATTTTTATTTAAAAAATAGGTAGTTTGGAATGTTTAAGCTGTGTTTAACATTTAATTTTACTGAAAACTTAAAGCAAATTAAAACTTGTAAGGTAATTTAAATCGTAGGAAAAGAATTGTGCATTTTCTTGGTTGCCTAACCTCACTTTTTGTTTTATTATTCATATTTAATTTTACAATAATTTAATGAAAAATATTAAACATTAACAGTAAAACAAACAAATTAGTGCTTATTATAAATAAATTAAACCAGTTTAGTACGTTAATTTCTTAGAAAAGGATTAATTTGTCAAAACAATACCCCTAGCGAGAAAAAATCGAACTAATTACTTGCCTCATAAAATTTTTATCGGCCTAGGCCATAACAAGGTATTTCTTTATCGAATGTTGACAACAATAAAGTTTAAATTATAGACCGCGTGGAGAAATTATTTTATTATATATAAAACAAAATAGGTATTAAATTTTTTTGTGTAAGGTTAAAACCACTAAGCGATATGAGCGTTTAATAAATATTAGAAAATGGATTTGTGTATTTAACAATATGTCATATGTTTTTCTTGTCTAAGAGTTAGGGGTAGGAAAGGAACTCACCCGCCATTTCCCTATTTCTGTGAGCCTATTGGCCATGACACATCCTGCACTACCCGCACCGACCACAATGAAATCGTAATCCTCATCTCGTGCTTGATGCGAATTGCCTGAGTGCGAATCCAAAAAACTTTCAAATTCATGATCGAAACTGCTGTGATGAGAACTAAAACCGTGCGCTAATCCACGCGAATCTCTCGAATATCCGAATAAATCGGTGATTAGTTGTAAAAATAAAAACGTACTAGGCGCACAATTCGTAACGGTGGTGTAGACCTGGCAGGCTTCCGATAAATTCGGCGGTACCCAGGACATTTTTTCAAACTAATTTAGCCGATTTGTTTCCAATACTGAAGAAAACTTGGTCTCTATGATCTCGGCATGCCACCACCCCACCCGGCCCGCTAGATTTGAACGTCATTGACTCGCACAACTTTTGAGAAAGTTATAGAGGGAAATAATAATCATATACAATCTTGATAAATAAGTAAATTAATAATTTTATATGAATATTTTATAATTTATTCTTCGCGGTAAATAAAACAGTAAGGAAATAGCGTTGTGGTTTTATTTTCTTATTAATAAAGATATTTCCACGATCAATCGAGTATCGTTGTTTTTGTGTTTTATTTAGTAGTGCTTAAATCATTACAAGTTTTGGTTGTATTGGAAGAGAAAAAGAAAAAGAAAATGGTTTAAAAAATATTATATTATTATTTATATTTTTTCTCCACCAAATTAAACCATTTAAAAATATGAATTTTAACATTTACAAAAAATATTTGGTGGATTTTAATAACACAATAGGAAGAATAAACAAACAAATCCCACACAATTTAAATATTATAAAATTAAACAAATAAAAATATAAGAAGTATCTAACTAAAAAATACGCAAAAAATTATACTAAAAAAATCACATCAAATTAAAAAAAAATCAAAAAAGTAATAATTCTAAAAAAAATCATACAAAATAGAAAAAAAATTTAAAAAATAAATTTTAAAACAAAAAAACCTTTTTTGGACTTAATATAATATTTAGATTTAGGAAATATGTATATAGCACTGTCAAATTTTAAACTTAAATGCTTTTAACTCTTAAATTACTTATCGGATACTTTTATATTTCAAATAACATTTTCGCCATTTTCGAAACATACTGTATTTTAATGAAAATCACAAAAATTTAAAAAAATTTTTTTTTATAATTTTAGAATATTGTTAATATAGGTTATAAACAAAGCATAATAAAAAATGTAAACTCAAACAAAAAATGGAAAATTTTAAATATTCGATAATATATATTGCTAAATTATCAAACAGTTATCAAAATATACAATACAAAATAAAAAGTAAAAATTCCGGAACATGTCAAATAAAAAACTAAAATATTTTTAACGATTTACGATAAGAAAAAAATTACCCTTATTTTTTTATTTTAAAATGATTCAACTGTTTGTAAATAAAATAAGATTTATCAACTGTCTAATTCTTGGCAAAAATTTGATTAGATTAGATTTTGTTGTAAATATTTAAATAAAAAAATCTTAAATTTTGTAAAAAAATTATTAACAAATACATTTTCTTCGAATTTGGAACAATTTTTTCGTTTTTTTTATTCTTTGGTAGTTTTATAGGAGGTTTTTAATTATACTGTCAAAACTTATGGACATTGAGAGAAATAAATTTTTAAAATTAGGAGCGCGAGTCACTGCACTTCAAGCAAGTTGTAACCGAGTCTGAATGACGGGCGCCATATTTGAAAAACACATTACACTCAGTGTTTCTATTTTTCCATTCTCAAATTTTGACAATATCTCGTTTTAGAATTAAAAAAAGAGCCTCAAATTCAAAAAAAATATTTGATTATAAAAAAATCGAATTGAAGATTTGTTTATTAAAATGTTTTAAACCAGAACTAATTTCGAACCTTTCCCAACAAACATTGGGAGTTGAATCTTATTTCATTTACAAACGGTAACTCTTGTATAAATATTGATTTTTCTATATGAACTATAGTTCTAAAATTTCAAAAAATCGACTACAAATATCACAAGAGAATAAGAATAAATTAAAAAAATTTAGAAATGTTTTTAAAAACTTGTTGTCTGGCAAAGTTTATTTCATAGGGCTGAAAAGTGAGTCTTTTTGTGCTAACGCGTTATCAGCCGCGAGAGCCGATAGAGAGCACAAACAATATTTTTCAAAAACTGAATCCCACAGTTTAAATTTAATTAATTACTACTAATGTCAAGCGAAAGTTTTTAAACAGATTTAAAATGATTTTGCGTACGTAGCAACGGATTTAAAAGTACTTTGCGTACATGTAAAAGACTTTTTTATGTGACCACTATGTGAAAGTCACATTTTGTAATGGCATCGTTGCTTAGAAAATGAATCTTTTCATTGGTAAGGCAAAACTTGAATGTAAAGTGACATTTCTGTATGAAAAGTGACAGGTCTCTGTGAAATGTGACAGGTCTTTCTGAAAATAAATTAATTATTTTGTTTTGTATTTGAATGTAATAAAAATAAAAGGGTCGTAGAAAAAACATTGTATTTCACTTGTGAGAAAAGCTTTCTTCAATTTGAAAGAGTCACTTTTCAACAAATAACTATTACGTTCTGTAGACACTTAATAAAAATAATGTAAAAGTCAACTTTTAATGAAAATACGCTAAAGAAGTATCGGGTTTTCGCAACGCGCACGCCATCTGGTGGACTTCGATAGCATTGCGTGACTTTTAAAGCACAGATTATACATAATTTTTAAATAAATAGGTAGTTTTTTCACAAAAGAAATCTTACTAGACAAATTTTGTTCAATTGCACAGCTAAATCGTACACGTTATTAGTGTTTTACTTTGCAAGGAAAAAATTAAAAAACTTTCATGTTTTGCCAAAGGTTCCAATTCGGTAAGTACATATGTAGAATTAACTAATGACTAACTTTACCTAATATAATTTATATTTAGTTATAGTATAAGTTTGAACATTTTTAAGAAATTAGTAAAAAATAATTTTTGCACAAACATAACCTTAAAATCAACCATTTTTATATTTGAGTCCTCTACAAAACGCCGACAACTGCATTTTAAACAACAAAATATACCTACGAATTCATGGCAACATAATATTATATATAATTAGGGATGGGATTTTAGTTATTTTACCTTTTTTCAGCCGATGTAACTATTTGAAAACCAATAATGCCAAACTGTGTTTTAAAAGTTTTTATTTTATATGAACCTAACTTGTTTTCACCTTTTTTACCTTTTTTGGAGGTTTTTGCTTTAAACTACCTTTTTTATACTTTTGTTACCTATTTTTTTAACTTGTTTTCACTTTTTTTACCTTTTTAGAGGTTTTTGCTTTAAACTACCTTTTTATACTTTTGTTACATATTTTTTAATTTTTCAGTTTATTTTCACCTATTTGTTACCTATTTTTACGTATTTTTACTTATTTTATTTTTAAATTTTGCGCCATTATTTTATCCAGGGCGTGCAACTCAACGGTATAAAATTTTTTCTTATGGTCACAGACTGTAACAGTAACTTTCTTTACAGTTACCTTCTTTGTAGTGAGCTTATGTTCTGTCATAAATATAACTTCTGTGTAGTGAGTGTCACTCAGTGAAACACAGTTTATTGCATATAAATAGTTTATTGTGGGTATGTTCTGTGTTTGGGTATGCGGCTAAACAAAATTATAAACGAAACTTGAACTTTTAATGTTTTTTTTTACCTAAAATGCTGTTTTTTTAACCTAAAATGCTTTTTTTAGTACCTTTTTAGTTGCCTATTTTTCAGTTTTTAGTACCTAAATATCCCATCTTTATATATAATACATAATGATATGTTACCGTTGAGTGGAGACTTTCTTAATCAACGCTTTTAATAATACTAAATGCTGTTTAAATTTGTTTGACGATTTTTACTGAATTGAAATGTTTACATTTTTCACGTTAATTACTACTAAAATGTGTATTTATTGTATCTAATAGGTACCTACAATTTATATTTACAGAGACTGTATGCAATTTATGTCTTCTTCAGGTTAACACTGTTTATTGGAAAACTGGTAAAAAGTCAACCAAGGATTTCCTCTCGAAATACACAATAAATCGAGCCACGGTTTTTTTTCGATATTTTATTAAATATTTTCCGGCTTTATTCTCAAAAACACTCGTTTGTTACATAACCGTTTGAGAGCTGATTATTAAAAGTTGTACTTTTGTTACGATGATAACAGCCGTGGTGGCGCTACTAGCTATACTTTTTTAGCGTATTTTCGAAAATAGTTATTTTTAATGGTAGATTACGAAATGCTACTTTTGCATTAGAAAATGAAATTTATTTGTGCGATAGGGAGCAACAAAAAAATTTGATAAGCCTTATGGCGTTTTAGTCACGGGCTGGAGTTGGCAACAGGTTTTTAGTCAGAGACTGAGGTTAGTTTTAAGTTAATATTTGAAAAGTTTATATGAACATTGACTGACCTTTTAATTTCGCCGGCTGTAAACTGATTTTACTTTAAAAATTTCGGGTAGAGACTCCACAGTGGTGTGCCCATAAAACATTTTCTTTATTTTCACTGTGAAAAACTGCTTCTATATCGTAGTTAAACGGTGACTAGTCCATTTTCAAAGGATGCATTTCAATTTACACATAAAATTTGACATTTTTACCGGCACGGTAATACAGATTCCCAAGAATGATTACTATATTGCTCTAAAGATTTGCGAGCGAGCGAGCTAGTGCCTAACTAAAACTCGTGACTAAAATGGCGTACATAGCAATGGATGTAAAAGACTTTTACAGTCTGTAGACAAAAACCTGTTGTTTTGACACTTAATAAATATAATGTAAAATTCAACTTTTAATGACAGTTTTCAAAAAAAATATTTTTTTGGTAGCTTAAATTATAGCTTGAAGATAATAGTTTATTATGTATCAAGTTTTATAAACGCCATTTTAGTTACGAGTTTAATAGGCACGAGCGAAGCTTGCGAGCAAATGTTTAATAAAAGCGAGTGTCTAGCCAATTATAATTCATAAATATTTGACATTTGAGGAATGTAACCTCACTTTTTCGCAATTTATTATAAAGCTAACTTAAGCCCGTTACTAAAATTCTCAAGAGCCACTGTTGTTAACTTCAGCCCGTGACTAAAATGCCAAAAGTCACAGCTCGTCAATGTAGGAGTAGATAATAGTATATTATGTTTGAAGTTTGATAAACGCCATTTTATACACGAATTTAATTTAGGCTCGAGCGAGCTTGCTAGCGAGTTCTTAAATTAATGAGTGTATAGAAAAGTTTATAAACGAGGTGCATACTATACTTTTTCTACGACAAATACTTATTATTATCTTAAAATGATTTAAATTAAAAAT